GATGTCGAACGTGACTTGGGTGTTCAGATTCGAAAGGACTTGGATTGCTCCAGACCATTCAATAAGTCCTCAAAGAGTGGAATCCAACACGCCGGCTGTTGCGACGGACGTCTGGACAAATGAACAGCTCCATATTTCCACAAATATTCCGCGCGTATGTCCGCCCCAGTTCGAATACACAATTCAGGCCTGGCATCTATGGCTGCAACATGACTTTAATGTACTGGAGAAGCAACAACCTAGGGCATCAAAGAACCTAATTGGAATGTGCATTCCTTCATACCAGGTGAAGCTGCAACGATTAGGGTTATTCAGTGAAACCTACCGCAAGCCACAATGCAACCTGATTATGGTATACTTGATTCTGCGAGACTCACATCATGTGTGCCACTATTTACTGCGACTCAGCACCAATACAACCCTGAGGGGCCACACATTGAAACCCGCTGTACAATATAGCCACTTGGAATGCCACAGAAATTGCTTTTCCATTCGTGTCTGTCACCCGTGAAAATCTTTCCAGAATCTGTCTTCTCCGCACCGACATTAAATGTATATAAAGATGGTTGGGTGACGCATGCATCCGCTTACACTTGATCACTTAGCACTGCGTCTCCATCCTACGCCTGAAGTATAAATTGGAGTTATTTGATGTTAACTGTGGATGCTGTGAATCTAAGTGGATTGCAGGACAACGGAGGAGCAAACGATAAGTCCTTATTTTGTTATTTGTTTAAATAACTACTTTACTATCATGACTATCACTACTGTTATTATCGATATGCCAACCGATTCCCTACGAAACTTTTAAAGCAACGCTTCTTAACCTGCATAAATTTAATGTTCATTGTTGATTGTACAATAATGAAAACCTGTTCAAATTTCATTGGCTTGTTTCGGTAATATGCGATAATTTTGCCAAGTTTAGCAATTATCTTGCTGTCACTTTATACGCCTACATGACTAGAATTATTGTGTTCTTACAGTGATTGTTGTGGGCTTATATTTATTGTCCTTTTAAAGTTGTCTATAGGTTTACTTTTCTGTGTTTTACCTAGTAATTCTTCCATGATAATGTGTATTCTCTCTTGTTATTCCAAATTCATCTACATATGCACAGTTTGATTGTAATGGCATTGATCCTTGCGAATTCTCTTGTTGGTAGCGCCTCCCTGTAGTGTATTGACGGATAGATCATTTAGGCAATTCACTTGCTTGCGTCGTTTAATGTGATTGATTTTGGAAGTAAATTGCTTGGAGCAAGCCATGTAGATTTCGAGATCATTGGTGCCACATTTCCCTAAGAGAGCAGAAAATGCAGGCCGGCTGTTTGGATAGCACAAATCACGCTTAGTAGAAAATTGCTGTGTATCGCACAGTATGTTTTAAGAATAACAGGAATTATACGTGATAATACGCTGTAAACTCGAACCTTCTTATTTTCTATGTGTGGCTATCGTTGCTCCGGTTGCAACAATGAGCATATCGCCTCTCTCATGTTTTAGCTGCAAAAGCCAGGATCAAATGCCCAATCACGTTACTCGTTGTTATCTTCATTTGTGAGTTTTTAGGTCCTTTTGATTAAACGAGATAAACCATTAAATGTGTAATTCGAAGACATTACTTTGCACCTCGCGTTTTCTGACGCTCACTTCTGTAACAATTTAACATTTCATGTGTGTAATTTGGTTAGATTCTCTGAAATACAAATAAACGGTATCATTTTCCTTTTTCTCGCTTTTGATAAGGCAGGACTTCTGCAAAAAGCCGAGCGAGGTATAAATGTGTAGTTCAGAAACTCAGTTCTGAATTCGTTACCCGGTTTCCGAGTTCTGTGATTTCCGCCAGGATACTCATCAAGGCTAATGTGAGTTGCATGGTATTGGTGTCGCAAAATTTATAGACAGGGAGCAATCCGGAATTTGTAAGCCCGAGTTAGCCAGATAATATTAGAGAACTATAAGCTAATATTTTCAAGGCATAGAAAAATAGCCAGAGGTTGATGAATTATTTCTTCATTTAGCGTCACAAGAATGCTAAAGTGGAATTTTAGTTTAATAGTGTCAATGCGTATTAGAGCTTTAGACGTTTCTAATCGACAATTGCTTGTCTAAGCGCCATCGGTGATTATTTTGCGTTCTTCATTATTCAAGCATACGCGTTTAAATACGGCAAATTACAAAATAGTTAGTTAAAACTTGTAGTGGATAGCTTAACATTTAGCTGAATTTTCAAATATTAAGTAGAGAATGTCCAACGTAAAGAAATGAAACTATGCTTAATTGTAATCAGAATTTAAGGTGCTTTAATGTCGACTCCATTCCTTCCGGCATCAGAAGCCGTATAAAACCGATTTTACGGATCCGATACGTAGACGACAGATTTGTCATCACGAAGTGGGATTTCATACAAACTACATGTGACCTAATTAACAGCAGATTAGAAGATAGCAATTACACCACCTAACTGGTAAACACTGAAATACTATTCTTGTATTAAGTAGTTTGAAGGAAAAAGACGGTAAATGCAAACTTGCGTACATCAAAATAAGGCACAAACTGACCACAAAAACTATTCCTCAAAATGCAAGAAGCGAGTTTCAATGTGTGGCCCCTCATGGTTGTATTGGTGCTGAGTCGCAGTAAATGGTGGCACACATGATGTGAGTCTCACAGAATCAAGTATAACATAATCAGGTCACCTCATAGTCTGCGATCGCTTCCACTGGATATCCCCAATCGTTGCAGCTTCACCTGGTATGAAGGAGTGCATATTCCAATTAGGTTATTAGATGCTTTACTTTGCTGTTCCTCTAGTGCATTAAGTTCGTGTTTCAGCCGTGGATGCCAGGCTTGAATTGTGTATTCGACATGGGGCGAACATACGCACTGAACATTTGTGGAAAAATGGAGCTGTGTATTTGTCCAGACGCCCGTCGCAACAGCCGGCTTGTTAGATTTCATTATTTGAGGCCTTTTTGGATGGTCTGTAGCAACCCAAGTCCTTTTGAACCTGGACACCCAAGTCACTTACGACAGCTCATTGTTTCAGTACATTTGTTCCGACCGGTGTGAGTAGCTGCTCTAATGTCGGATGGAAAGTACCTTGCGTTTACTGACGTTGAATTGTGGTAAGTTTTGGCTTGAGCAACGATACACCGCATCTAGGTCGATCTGAAGCAGATGCTGGTCGGCGTTCACCTGAATCCTGCGCCGGATGTTGATATCGTCGGCAAACATTAGGAAGATTGAATCGATTGCCTGTGCAAGGTCCAGAATAAACACCAAAACAAACGTGAACCTAGAAGTAAGCATTGGGGCACACCATACTCGACTTGTATGGGGTCCGAAATAGAGCTCCAAACTCTGAGCACTAATTTCCGTTGAAGTAGCAAGTTGGCAATCCATCTTAATAATGGGTCGGCGATCACGTAATGCTATAGCTTGGGGAGTAGTTTCTGATGGTTTAGACGACCAAAAGCTTTCGATAAATAACGGTAGATAACAATAAGTCCTTATGCAGCCTTATATGACTCCGTCCAACTAGTGTGTGCGATTAGTAAAGTCGTCGTACATGACCGCTGTCAGCGGAAACCGTGCTGCTCAGAAGTGATGATGTTACAGATTTCCAGATACCCTAGCAAAATATACGCCAGGTATCTTCGTAGTGCTTGTTGCCCCTCTGTTTAGAAGAACAAATGTACGTAGGTTATATAATCCAAGAAAGCCAGTCTCATCGATGCTAACATGGATAATGTGGGTAATAAAATTCTTTTGGTAAAGCCGTCATACCGATTAACCGACAAATCCAAACTACAATACTTGGCGCCATTAAGAGTGTTCCAAAACGAGAGAGCTACAAATTTTTCAAGAAGTAACGTTCCTAATGGGAAAAAATAAATTAGGTGGCAGATATCCGGAATTAGCAGGTAGCTGACTGATTTATAAATTGAATTAAAAATTTTGGCGTGGCATTTAACATAAGCTGTGGATGCTAAATCTAAAGAATTTATTTGGTATACAGGTTCCTCCTATTCAGGAAATATGTAGCGCTATTGTAATGCTTAAAAGAAGAAACTTACGGAGAAACGGAACCGAATATTGCATTATTCGGATGCGTAAAATTCCGTTAGATAGCACAGTAAAATAAAAGACATGCACTTAAATGCGAGTTGAAGAAATATAAACGAAGATTCTGTAGTCGTATAATACAAATGAACGGACATTATTTTTTTGATTCTGAATTCAAATGGAAGCGTAACTTTGCATTTCCTATTGAGAAAAATTCTGAGTAGCTTCACCTAGTCGAGCAGCGCCATAGAAAATTAACCGTAAGACAAAGCAATTAAAGCGAGCGCAGCAGATGAGGTTGGAAAAAAAAGTTATGTGACCTACAGTCAATAAAATTGTTGGAAAATATAGAGCAGGGAGGTACGGGGAGCAAATTTATTATAAGGTCTGTTTGATCCGATTGCTCAGAGAATACTGCCGTCGTCTTTTGACGTCTGATGGATGCAATTTGATTCCACGATTGTAGAATGGCATTTTTGCTGATGACAGAATTTTCCAATAAAGCATATCGTTCGATGGTTCACAAAAAAGAATAGAGGCAATTCCCACTCACCTCCATTGGTGGTTTTTATCGAACTAGTTGGGGTAGTATTGATTGGCGTTGTACACGTCCCGGTGGTTCTGGTGACCTCCGTCATAACTAGATACAGAAGAATTAAAAGCATTGCAGAAGTAGTGGTTTTGAAAACAGCTTCTCCGTTGTCAAAAATAAACGCGAGTTGTTAGACTTCTCATAGCCACTGATAGAGATGGCATGTTTGAGAGGTTGCTTACCGTCAAGATTCTGAGAACATCTTTGATCAGGATCTTTTATGGTAACCATCGTCAAAATTTTTCAGATAACTGTGCGTCTTGAAATAATGCCATTGATAATTTGGACCAGCACAACATTAGATATTAGCTTGAAGAAAAATGCATGTTGCTTTGCTTATGATAATAATTAATTCGCAACAAATTGTTCTACTCAATATGTTAGCTAGTGAAGTACTCCTATCCCAAATCCTTATGAGGCGGTAAGTATACTTAGCCAAACAGGAGAAAATTCGCTTCCAGTTTATCCCCAGAAAATACATAAATCTAGTTTTTTTAATAATTATGTCTGCAAACAATTAAAAATGGGGTATATTTCGTAACGGATCGAGGCACAGTCCAATTGATTTTCCTGATCATTTTGCACAACATAACCGGCTGTGTTGCCTAATAGGTCTTTCAGTTCTTCAGTTTCATGCAAGTTCCCAGACTGTTTGGCTTGGCTGATTTATTGGTTTCCACATTTAAAGGTATGGTTTGGATGCCGCTGATATTAATTGCACATACTTCTAAATGTGCTGATATGGTTATACAGCCAACCACATAATCGTCTCTATGGGATCTGCTTCCAACGGTCTGGTGCCTCAAACTGGTATATCCTCACTTCCTTCTCTGCTCTGACTGTGCGCACCTGTGGCTTTAAAGCAGATTTGCCCTCACCTATAATATTCAAACATGGGCTCCTTGGAATTGCAAATATCAATGTATACGAATATGGATAGTTAGGCTATATAGGCCGGATCAGCAATCGGTCTTTTTCGGATAATGACCGTTATTACTCGTCAGGGGGTCAATGGTACCTTGCGTCGCATGGGTACATCAGTTATGTTTGTAGCTAAAATCCGCCACCTCAGGAGGTTGACGCAGTCGTGACCAGGAATCGATTAAAATAAACATAGAATACTAGTTGCTAGCAAGATAATTACGGCAAAGGTGCTGAAGAATCAAGCGTTTTATATAAATACCGCCAAGAAAGGTTGACGCATTTCTTGCTCATATTTGCGGTGAGATCCCTTAATGAGTTCCTGCGCGGAATATCGATAAGCGAGGTAGTTTTGAAAGAAATGTTCCAAGATAACGGCCAGTTGACTGTGTACGCAAATTTAAAAGTTGTTAGCGCATTGCACTGAAAAGTACTACTTACCTCTGGGCTGTAGCTCTCGCAAACTTAAAAGAAATAGTTAACATTACAATGAGCGTGTAAAGAAGAGCGGTATAGGAAGGAAGAACAGTTTGTATCCCGATGGCTTATAGAAACGAATTGTAGTTGATGTAGTCGCGTTTTGTACTTGGATGGTTGGAAACAGTTTCTGCACAAGTTGTTACAAGAAATGAGGTACATGCTCTAAGTTTCGATGGCAACAGATGTGTGGAAGAGTTGATATTGATAGATACCTAGAAGCACTCTGTAGTTGCGTGCTTATACCTCCGGATATGAAAGAGAACCAGTTACAAGTACGGAAAACCGTATCTTCCTAAATAAACAGGTTATGATGTTCGCAGACTAAGTAGTATTCGTCAAAATGTATTCACTGTATCTATATGTTATGTTTTGCAGGGCTCAGTGTGGCACTTTCCTATATTGTTGCGCTACAGGTCAGAATGGTTTCTTGAGGCGAACAGTTAAGCGGTGCAAAGGTGTGGATTAAGCACGGATAAGATGGTGGCGATTGATACCATGTCAGATAGTTGCTAGACCGTTTCCGTGTGCCAACTCCTCTGTCACATTCTGTCTCAGCAGCTGGGTGGAGTTTTCAAACTTTACCAAGGTGCGGACCTTAATTATGAAATACTTCAGGTGATTTAATCTTCACAGCTTGGACGGCAGCCTCTTCACTATCTTTGCGTAAACAATCACTTAAACGTTCGTATTGTCTGAATTTTAGGCCTTTGTGGTTTCAGTAAATTGTGACTGTTTCGAATGGTGCACTTTGGCCGAAATTCGAATATAACAACCAGGCTTGTGGCGAGAAATTGCTTGTGTCTTATATCGAATAAGACACATAGTTGCATCCGTCTGAGCCATACCGCGTCTAGTTTTAAGGCCTTGTAGCGCTGTAGGTAAGAGTTTCGAGAGGACAATCCAAGCAGATGTTTAGTGAACGATCTCCGCAACGTCCCTAATTTCTAGCAATTACCTTTCCTTGCACACATTTACATCAATGCGCAGTAGACCAAAAGCGATCAGGTATCTCTCTCGTATAACAATCGTGCATTTTGTATGATTTGAATAGTAGTTCAATGCTTCGACGAGCTCTAACAACTACATTCGCTGCGTGCTTCATAACCTTTGGTGATCCAGAAGAGTAAAAACCCTAAACTTTCCTGCATGGTTGTACGTTACTGCTTTTCCTTTGAGTAGCACGATGCCACAAGTATATTAGAAGAGGTAAAAAGTGGCGGTAAAGTGTGATTGTGGCTTGTCTATTTAGGATCTACAGAGCAACTTCTTAACTTAGTGCGATAACACCGGTTTGGCCGCGTGATAACGTTTCATGGGTTAATTACGCTGTCTTTTAAGAGGTAACAAAACGATGGAATATTTGGGCACCGCAGCCGCCAGGCAGTAGATAAATGTTATTATGCGGCCAAATAGGTGTTATAGCACATGGACAAGCCACACCCTCAAGGTACCGCATTCTGGTTTCTCTCCTCGACTCTTCTTGTGGTAACGAGTACCATGACCGAATTGTGAGGTGTCTGTTCACTAGGATTTCAGAGCCAATTCTACGTAACCTGGTCGTTATTGGTCCCAAGCTTCGGGCTAGCTCCAAAGTGCAACACATCCTGGACTTTACTATGTGCCAACGTCTTCATGATTCCTTTAAGTAACTAACTTGCAGTGCAATGCCCGATTGCTTCAGTTTGCCGAGGCTTCAGCTGTTCTCGGTCAAACCGCAAATTACGCAAGCAGACATTACTTACAACTAGTTCTGCCTTTCCTTGATATGGTAATTGATGGTTTTCCTTTGAAGTGAATGACCTAATAAATTGCTTCCATTTCAGATGATACGAGATATTTTCACGGTATGTATGTAAAAAGCTGTTGAGAATAAACGAAATACCAGAATTCAGTGTATCCTGCCAAAATATTATATATTCACCCTTTCTTAATTTGTGAAAGGAAAAGCACGCATGAATTTTCCAATTTAAGTAAAAAAGCAGAGACGATTTCTATCTGTACAATCCTCTTTTTAATATTAATCACAGCGTATAAACCCACGTATACCCGTGTTCACAACTTCATCGCTTTCCATGTAATTGCCATCTTTCTAAGTAGTTGCGCATCTAACTGCATTATTTTCTTTATGTGAGACTTCCACAGACAAACCGCACAATCTTAGGGAGAGGCTAATGCACAGACATGGCGATGCTGGTCACAAAATCCTTAGAAAATGATCGGAAGTTGTTATACCTTTTTTTGCTAAGCTTTAACTAACAGTTCGATGCTGACGTACCGATATGAGAAATATACACAACCTGCAGTTTTTCCGTTATCTTCTATCAATCGTTCCACATAACATACCATGGATAATATCCCCGAACGCAATGAACGTAGCATGAACATTTCAGACGTTGGCCGTCCTTATGAAAAAAAACAAGTTATCTTATATAGGAATCAAAAGCTACACCGGTAATGTCCATCGTTTTATACCCATGAGCTATACCACTGAATCCCTGCAATAATTCACTGATATTAAGATAGTTGAAAAGCATGAAACATATTTGATACATTAGACCGTTCTATTTGTGCTCAGTTTTACACAAATTCGAGAGATTGGTATTAATGTTCAACGCTTTATCTCATTTATGTTTGAGGTATTCTCGATTGATCAGTAAACCCCGCAATATTACGTTGAACTGTCACCAACGGATAACGTCTGAGGGATACTCCATCTGTGTAGCCAAGTGTGTGGCCATAAATGCTGATGGTTTGATTTTGGTCAAACAGTGATCAGTGTATCCCGAAAAGTTTTGAAGGCACTTTACAGAAGCGTTCCGACACTTTCGTATGAGGAACACTGGAAGTGGCTTCACTGATGCCGTAAAGCATGCCATCGCTCCTAGCGATGTTAGACCGATGGGATATTTAACTAGATTGATTACAGTCTAACAGCAGAGAAGGAAAAAATATTGTTGATCGATCATTCGACTGAGAAATGTACATTCCAACTCCCCATCTACTCATGGACATTAAATAATAATCAGGTGAAAGAGGATGATACTTGACGGTTGCATGTCGACTACAGACATCTCAAGCGACAGAACCAAGAGTACGTTATGCGCCGTTCCATAAACGGTGTCCTGTTCGACAAGTTGGTTAGCCCATATTGTTTTAGCATATTCGACGTTGGTTCCGGCTACTGGCAGGCAGAGAATGTGGAGGTAAATCGGTAAAATTTGTCCTCATCTTGACATGGCCTGTACGATTACCCAAAACTAAACTTTGTGCTACCTAGGGGCCACTGCGATGCCTTTTCACATTATGTGCAACGTATGATATAAGCTGATTCTGCAGAAGTTGCTTCTCATGCTTGGCGGTTAGCTTACATTGGAAAAGAGGGGGTAAGCGTAAAAATAATCTGGCAGAAGTATCGAAGCTTCTGGTCTCATTGTGTCTCAGGTATAAACTATAGTTATGTCACTTATTACGTGAAGAAGTGTTCTATTTACAATTCATTATTTTTGTAGCCTGACATACAAAGGAAACCAATGAGCAGATGCATGTGAAGTCTTATCGGGGAACTTCAAGCAATAAATACTTATTTTAACCAGATTGCCTTCATAATATTGGTGATTAATCAACGCATTTCAACGATAGCCGCCCACCTCAACGCAATAGTATAAGGGGCTTGAACGTTTTAATAAGGCATCCGATTCCAGAAAGCATACAGCGGGCGCAGTGAGTCTCCTTGCGCAGACACCTTGCTGTTGTGCCTGGCTTACACCGTCGGATGCAAATCCAGTTTGGACAGTAATGGGAGTGGCAAGTTGCTTGGAC